TTGGTATATTTTTAGTTGTAGCAATTCTTTTTGTAATATTCTAGGCTTTTCCACACATGAATAACTTGTGTAATCACACTGCCATCTTAAACTTTTAAGAATGTACTGACAATTTTATAGATAGTTTTGGATTGAGTATTGATTTCTTATGGTTCCTGGAACTTCCAAGGAATTTCTACTTTCAGAGCCTTGGCTTTCAGAAAAGAATGGTGTCCAGAGGCATGTAGGGAGATAGCAGCATTGACTTGTTCAGATGATTCACATCCTAGTGTCAAGTGTGTTAGCAATGCCAAGCATTAGTCAGGCAAGTACCAACTTCCCCTCCTCCAAATCTTCCAGTCTTGTATAACCACATTTGTTTCAGAAAATCTATGCTTGAGATTTGTGTGTGTGTGTGTAATTCTGAAATAAGAACATTATGCTAATTCATCTCTCATTCATCACCTGCATAGCTCAAGTTGGACCTTTTAAAGTTAAGGACAACATTCACCAGCACAAATACAATAGTAATAGCATCATCATGTGTAAGAGAACTCACACTTCAGAAATATTTCATTCATATTTTTTCAGTTCCACCCTCCTTTATTAAAAAACAAAGTCCAATCATGGTTCAAATATTCTGCTGTCATGAATTGCATTTAAAGAAGAGCATGAGAATTACTAAACTGTTCTCCCCCTTTGGAGAAAGCAGCCCATTTTCTGTAGAATATCCCACATATCTTTTACTGCTTTGCTCTCTGTGTTTTCTTCCCAGTAGACCTAGCAATTAGGTCACTAGAAGATCAGGTTCAGATTACCTATTTTTGCTGAGGACCCTTTGTAACCATGTTTCGTGCTGCATATGATTGCAAAGTCCGTCACTGTTTTCCAACCCACACCTTTCTCATAATGTAATCTTGACATTCCTTCCAGTGACAGGTGGGAAGGAAACTCGTTCTAGCCATTTGATACTGGGTGGGCTTTTGTGACTCCATCAATGGAGGGTATGGTGACAGTGACTTCTGAGCCTTGCTGAAGGTGCCACAGCAGCTCCTTGCTGTATGGTGTACTTGCTCAGCTACTGTTAGTCACAGCACCATGCAATGACATCTCTCAGGCCACTACTGTGTGGAAGAAGCGCAGGCCAGTGTGTCTAGGAAGATCATAGGCAGATCCTTGAGCCTTCATGGAGAAAGATGAAGCCAACTCCTAGAGCTCCAGCTCTCTGCTATTCCACTGCTTCAGGCAACTATATAAGGGACTCCCAGTGAGAATGGAAAAACTTTTCTTGAATTCCTGGTCCACAGTATTTTGGACTGCTTGAATACAAGACAATACAGACTGAAATAATCTGAGTTATCCCATGCCTTCTTATACTTTATATTGATTTATTGAGCTTAGACATATTGTTTACTGTTCCGTTTACCTATCTAAGCTTTCATTTAGGGGCTGGATTCTGAGTCTTCTCCCAGAAGTATAATGGCTTTGTGGGTAACACTGACACAATCAATTTCCTCCAGCTTTCTTGTGCCTAAAGATGTCGAGTGCACTTTTATATTGTTTTAGGAGTTCAGTGGATCTACTGTTGAGTTCAGTTTCTTCAACCAGTCAAGCAAGTGCCTAAAACCACTGTTAGCAGCTCAAACCACAACATAGTGCAGAATCTCTTGACTGAATCCATACTGACATATTACATTTGAATTTTGATATTTTAAAAAGATTTATTGCATATGTCTGTATGTGCACCACACTGTGCCTATGGATTAATAATGGGGAACTACCACTGGGTGCTGGGGACTAAACTCTGGCCCTCTGCAAGACCTGCAAGTACTCTCAGCCACTCAGCCAACTCTATCTCCCTACATTTGAAATTTGAAACTCCCTTTCCTGGTGTTGACCAACAAAATGATCCATTTTCACATGCCTTCCTGCTATTTGCACTCCAATTCAGATTCTTCTAAATGTTACAAATATTTACATACTCAGATATTTATGGATCTTGTTCTTTTGCTATTGACTTTTCCTCCTCGAACATAAAAAATATAGTGAGTCTGAATATATAACTACACAATTTAGGAATCTGCAAGATCAAATACAATCCAGCTTATTTTAGTACTGGGACTACAAGAAATGTTTAACATAGTAAAGGGAGATCCCAAGGTTTCTATCTTTGCCTTAAACTCCACCAATTGCTCTTAAAAGTTTGTTTGATTCTACTACAGCTACCAAGAGGCTTCCTAATGTCCCGTCCCTGAACACTTAATTTACATGAAAAGTCATTAACTAGTTTCCTATTAGATATTACTGTTAACCACAATCCTATCCTATCCTTTCCCCCTCCTTCCTTTTTCTCTGTGTTGCCCCAGCTGTCCTGGAACTCAATTCTGTAGAGCAGGCTAGCCTCAAACTCACGAGATTCTCCTCCTCTGCCCCAAGTACTGGGATTAAAGGTGTGCCCCACCACCACTACCACCAAAATACAACCCTATTTCCAATGCCTTGCCCATTGTTGTTTAGTTGCTCAAAGTGAAGGACCAGAATGGCCCCATCGCCAAGCCTTGGATAGGGTTGAAGTTAAACAGGCTCTCCCCATTTGCATTCCCATAGTGGAGACTGAGAATCCTCAGACCAGGAAGGCAGTTTGGATGAACAGAAACTCTTCAAAGGACATTTGTCTGATGACTAACTTTGTGATCCTATTTTCCTGTCTTAAAAAAAAAAATATATATATATTCTGTTATATCACAGAGCTTGAGACTAATTCCTATCATCAGCTACCAACTGTCATTCATACTGATTTTTATTTGTGGAGATTACAAATATTTTAAAATATGTACTCATATTCCCTGATATTCTTATCACTAGACTTAAGTACTGTTAGCTCTTCCCTCCCTTGGCCCCTCCATTTAACAAGTGTGTAAGTATTTCTACTTAAGTACGTTGCACGCTCAAGTTATTACACAAGGTGCATGCTCTACTACCATTTTATACAATTTACACTTTATACAATTTCAAAACATACACTCTAACATGTTGCCTACTTTTCAAATTCACACATTTTTACCTGGTATATAGTATTTATAAAACAAACAAAATCTCCCACAATGAACAACATTCATTATAAGCTGGGCTTGGTAGCAGGTGCCTACACTTCTAGCACCTGAAAGGCTGACATGGAAGGATCACCTGATGTCAGACAATGAAAAGAGATCTCATCTCAACATAAACAAAGAACAGCTACTCCTCCTAAGTCCCAACCCTACCCAAAGAAACCCACAGCAATGCTTGGCCCCTGGTGTAGTCCTCTCTTCTGCCTCACAGCAATGGCAAAGGGTACTTTTCAGTGTGAGCTGCACTCTTCATGGCTTCCTGAGAGCAGTGAACTCAGATGTCAATTCTTTACTGGAATACTGGACAATATTTGCATTTTCTCAGATGGGGGCAAAACACTTTTAATCATGCAGTGTGCACCTCATGAAGATGACCAGCCATTAAGGGTCTTGTTTGCTCAGAAGAAGTCTACCTAAACTATACAAACCATGGCTCCTCTGCTTTTCTACATAAAGAACACATAAAGGGATGGCAAGAGATTTCAGTGAATAAACACATTTGCCAGGAAGTCTGACAATCTGAACTTACAAAGGTGGAAGGAGAGCACTAACTCCACAAAGGTATTCTGACATCCACACATGTAACCCCCACATGTCATGAAACACAGACGGACAGGCAGACACACAATTTCATTCTGTTAACATTAAAATGGCTTACGAAGCATATCCTACTATTCCAGGAGTGTAAAGATATTAGATTCCATAAGTAAATCTATTTCCTAAAGACAGATTTAGGGAATGGAGCAATAACTCCCTGTCACAGCAATGCAGAAATCTTAAAGAACATATAAAAATCAAGTATGAGGGGCTGAGTATAATGGTGCATGCCTTTAGCACATGGGAGGCAGAAGAAGGTGGGAGGCATTTGTGAGTTTATTGAGGCCAGCATGGTCTACATTGTAAGTTTCACACCAGGCAGGACTACCCTGCCTATAAAAAGTAAAATTAAGTGCAATTAAAGTATCCACTTATCAACACTATTGTTATACACCATTTGCTCATATAGTTGACTAATTTATATAGAACAGTTCTTTGAACTTTGGAATAATAAGTTTCTCACTTTCAATTGTATTTAAATAATAGAGACTGACCAACAGTTTATATATGATTTATCCACAAACTACCTGTTTGAATAAGAATGGCCCCTAAGATGGGCTTTGATGGATCAGGCCTGTAATTCCAGCACTCAGAAAGGAAGAAGTGGGATCTCTGTGAGGTCAAGGCCAGCTTAGTCTACAAAGGAAGTCCAGGGTAGCCAAGTCTATACAGAGAAACCTTGTCTCAAACCGCCCCCCCTCTCCCCCCAAATGCTCATAGAGTTGAATACTTAGTTATTAGGAGTGGCATTACTTGAGAAGGATTAGGAGGTGTGGCCTTGTTGGAGCAAGTGTATCACTAGGGGTGAGTGTTGAGGTTTCAAAAGCACAAGCCAGGCCAAGTGACTCTCTCTCTTCAGTTGCGTGTATCTGAATATAAAGAGCACCAAGTCTGCCAACATGCCACCATGTTCCCTGCCATGACAACAGCCTAAACCTCTAAAACGATCAGCAAGCCTCAATTAAATGCTTTTCTTTATAAGGCTGCCTTGGTCGTAATGTCTCTTCACAGTGAAAGAATACTGACTATGACACAACACAAACCAATTCATTTAGAATTCAGTATTGTTCTGCCAAGATAACCTGTAGCTCTCTCATTCAGTAGCTGTTAAAGAGCATAATTTTAATGTTCTTTAAAGACAGGGTATACTATAGAGCCCAGGCTAGCCTTGAACTCATGAGATTATAGGTATGCATTTCCACCCTTGATTCTTTCATATATGCTTGTTAATAGAAATTATGTCTTTTTATCTAACCAATTTAGACATTTTCTCTTATGTAGAAGGTCCCAAAATAAAGACACGTAAACAGGATAGCCTTTAAAAGTAGGTTAAAACAATTTACTTCACATAAGAACTGTATATTTCAGGCCTACAATTTTCATTGAGTATCAACAAAAATAATCTGTACAGAAAACCCAAGGGCAATCATATAGCATAGCATGTAAAATGTGCAAATATACTTTAAAATGCATTTACTGTGTAGCACTTGCAAGGTAGAACTGCATAGCAATTCTAGTAAACCTAGTAATTGTTTGCATGTAGTCAATGCAAATGTCCAAGGCACAACTAAGTGTTGGTACACACGTGTGTGACATACATCTTAAGATCATTTATTTGAAGACATTAAAGTAACACGATGGTATGTTTATAGTTCATTACTTAATGAGACATCAGTTTGTCTCTAAAGCTTTATGGAATACCACAATGATAATGTTTGTGTAACTAGGGCAAACCGTTCCCTGAACTTAAAAGTGAAAGACATGACTCTCAATATCCTATATTAAAAAATTATGTATGTATATATGTATGTATATATGTACACACACACACCCACATCATACAAAGGAAATATCCCAAAGTTCACAAGGAGGCCATTTTCTTATTATTAAAGGTTCCCATTACAGTATTTCATGACAATTTTTAAAAAATTTATACTTCTTTGCCACCTCTTTTGGTCAATCTTAGTTACAAAAGGAAATGAACTAGACATTTTCAAGTTAAAGGTGATGAATAACTTGGAAAGTCTCTTGAGTACACAGTGAAAGGTGTTATGTAGTTACAACGCCTCTGCCTTTAAAAACACCACTTTAGTCTACACAGGAAAAACCAACCCATTACAAGATCAACAGGAACACTGGCTGTGGTCCTGCCCCCAGTTCACCACAATGTCTGTGCTTTGCTGCCCATCCCTGAGAGTAAAGATTCTACCATTTTTAATAAAGCAATAACTTTACATTGATAAAATGCCTAAAGACCTTTTCATGACATTTATACATCATTAGCTTTAGCCCTATTTCAATTTCCTTTTTAAAAAAGAAGGGGGGAGCTTGCACTTTGAGAGAGCATTCATGAAAATATTTTGAAAGAGCATTAGATGCTGTACATGAAGCCAAGCTCAAGGCTCTCCTCACTGTCTCAGTTCTGTTTTTTATGCCATTGCTCATTTTCTTACAATTTTACTATTTTTGTTAATTGAAGAATTTACAGGTAGTGTAGGAAAAGTATAACACAAACTTAAAGGAACACTGAAGTGAGATGTACATTTCCCGGTGTGAAGGAGTTTACTGGAAATAATCTGAATGCCATCCAAGACAGGTAAAGTACCTACAAAAGAGAAGAAACGCAGCATAAGCATGCTCCTGCTGTCTCTGTATTAGCCTTCCTGGCCAAAATCTTCTGTAAACTTCTTTAATTTCAACAAGTCCTGGTCATTGACGGTAGGCTTTGTGCTAGTGAGTGACCGCAGCATATCCCACTGTGGGAGGAAAGAAGAAGAGATGTTAGCAATGGTAAAAGCTGCCCTGTTATTAGTTCCCAGCTTACAGTTAAATAGAAACAGCTGCAGGGTCATCAACTCCTGAGAGCAAATCCCTCGCTCCTCTGCGCACCTCCCCATGCTCATTACCTATTGCAAGGACAGGTCTAGCAGCCTGGGGATCAATGTCTCCCACAGTCTGGCCATGCCCTCATTACTGGCCTAACTCTTTCCCTTCAACAAGAGGTCTTTCTCGCACTAAGTGTAACTCAGAAGAAAATGGTAACTGTGCAAGAAATTAGTACTTTATTATAACCCATGTGGAATTCTATAACTGAAGAAGCAAAATTGAAAGTCAAGTCTGTTAGCTTTTCAATAACAGCAAAATTCTCTACATTATTTTATCCTTCCCATAAAAACCATAAACTGCATTTTGTAGTAATATCACTTTGTTCCTTCTGTATAATACTTACTGAATTGTATTTCTTTTTACTACAAAAATATGTTTCTGTAAGTCACTTGGTTGTACTTAAATGAAACAAAACTACAGGGTAATGAGAATTTTTTAAAATTAAAATTTATAGTGAAAAATACATCAATATTAGAAAGTCATTAAAAATGAATGTTTCCTATAAAATTACATGGCAAATGAACCATTTTAAGTTACTATGGATTCTTCAAAGCAGGACAGAACACAAAAACTTAAAAAATAATCTAATCTATCAGGGGCTGAAATAAAAAGGAATTCCTGAGTAATCAGATAAGCACAGAGTCACCCGTCTCTCCTCACAGACACACCCACACACAGGCACCCATGCCGGCATCTGTCTAAGCGGTGTATCAAAGTCTCATCTCCAAATGTTCCTGTTAACCCTACCACAGAGCACCCTGAAAACCGGCAGCTACAGCAGAACAAGTTTAAAATTGGTTCATCAGCAACCAAACGGACTTTTGCAGGACCCCAGTTCTCTAAAGATATATCTCACAAAATAAATCTGATAATTTACTTTAATTACTACAATGTAAATGTAATACAATGAAAACTTTTTGAAGTCTTATCTAGTATTTGAGAAAAAGGTTTAATGCTTTCAGTTGAGAATTTAAAAACTTTAGTATTCAAACTATTCAAACTAGTATACAGCCTAAAGAAGTAAAACATAACAATACTATTTATGAATACTAACATACAAGAGTTGATATGTTTGGTTATTTTTAAACATGTGAGATTCAGGGGCAAAACTTAAATTTTATTTCATGCAATATTTGTGAGAAATCTGTGGCTAACTTAAAGCCTGAAAACTGTGTTTTCAAAATACAATCTTTTTCAATTGATACAAGTCTCACAACTTAAGATAATTATTTTTACATCTAATCACAACTAATATTTACAATGCTTCAAAAGCATTAAAGAGATGAGTCTGATCATTACATTCTGCAGTGTTACAGAAACAAAAAGTCTGCTCTTTGACAAATTAGTGTATAAGATTTAGAATGTCATACCATGGAAACAACTGGCTCCAGTAGTTTATCTCCAGGCACATCCATCCACGTCATTTCAATAGCTCCAGGATCTCCTGGAGAGCAGGGTGTCAGCAGGTCATTTACAATGCAGTTAGGATCAGCTCTTGAGGGTCCATGAACCTGTAATCACAGTAACTTTAATTTATCTGAATAAATAAATAAAAATTAAGATTTTGGTCATTATTAGGAAAATTAAAAATACATTAATTTTTGGTTGTATAAAATGTTTACTCTAGGAAAAATAGAATATGTAAAGAAAAGCAGTTATCATTAGGCTGACTGAAATTTTTTTAGATTTTGGTTGATTTAAAATTTTTCTTGGTGCATTTCTTTGCATTCAATAATTTATGATTACTGGGGCTAAAAAAGGTTTGAAAAGAAATAGTTACTTCTCTTTCTCCTCTCTTCCTCTCATGTTTATTAAATGGTAGTTACCTCACAGACCAAAACAACACATTATAAAACTCTAAGCTGCTCTTTTCCATGGCTGAAAAACTTGTGAGATCTTGCAGAGTATTTAGTCTTAAATTATTCAATCCTTGCGTCTCTCTTAACAAAAATGTAAAAGAAAAAAACCCAAAAAACCCATGTGTGCTGTTTTCCGTGAGAATGGCTCCCACAGTTTCATATACTTCAATGTTTGGTTCCCAGGTGGTTGACAGTTTAGGAAGGATTAGGAGGTGTGGCCTTGTTGGAGATGTGTTACCAGGGAGAGGGTCTGGCTTTAAAGTTTCACAAGCCCATGACAGGCCCAGTTGGTCTATCTCTCTGCCTTGAACTTAAGGTATAAAAAGTAAGCTCTCAGCTACCGCTCCAGCACCATGGCCTGCAGCCATGCTCCCTGCCAAGATGGTCACGGACTTCCTATCTAAAAACTGTGAGCAAGCCCTCAGTCAAATGCTTTCTTTTACAAGTTGCCTTCATCTTGGTCCTAGCTTCCCTTCCCAATAATGGAAGAGTAACTAAGACAACATGTGAGTAGTGTGCTGGCTGGTTTTTTGTTAACTTGACACAAGGTAGAATAATTCGGGAAGAGGGAACCTCAATTGGGAAAAATGTTTTATCAGACTGTCCCTACGGTCAAGTCAATGGACCATTTTCCTGACTATTACTTGTGGGGGAGGGACCCAGCCCATTGTGGGTGGTATCATCTCTGGGCATGTAGTCCTGGTGTTTATAGGAAAGGAGTGTCAGTAAGCAGCACTCCTCCATGGCCTCTTTTTACCACGGACCATAATCAGAACCTGTAAGCCAAATAAATAAACCCTTTCCTCTCAAGACTGCTTTTATTCATAGTGTTTTATCCCAGCAATAAAAAGCAAAGTATGAGAGAAATTAAAATACATGCTTAATAATTTCTACATCATTTTACAAAATATACTTTAGTTAAAACAAGGTTTTAGAAATTTCTAGAAAAAGAACCTTTGTAACAAAGTTGCATACAAATATTTAGATGGCAAAACATTTGTATCAAATTGGGGTTGCTTGCAAGTCTATCTTATGATGATTAACTATTTCAGGATTGGTATAGGAGTTAATATACACCTTTAGAGCTTGCTTAATTGTGTACATACCTAGTGTATACACACTCATACTTGGTTTATTTCTATGTATGTCTATCTTTCTTCCCTGCCTCATGAGATCAGCGATTTTTTTTTTTTTTTTGCCTTTGTTTTTTGGCTGTTTACACCCTAATTTAAATCTGGGCTCAGATTTGGTACATTAAGACATTCTATAAATAATAAAAAGCAATAAACAGGCAACTGTGTTCTTAGTCATAACATCTTCAAAGGTAGAAGTATGGAGCCATCTACTACAGATGGTAATCCAAAACCATCTAGTGTAAAGCTAATCAGACTATAAAGCACATTATATCCATGTGTGCTTTATATGCGACAGTGAAGTCCATTAATACACAACTAATATAGATTTTCTTAAAGAAAATCGTGTTTGCTTTTATCTTTATGACATTAAGAAGGACCTGGTTTCAAATTCACATGAGGTCCCTAGTATTCATACGTAGAAATCAGTGACACATTCTAGGTGAGAAGGGTCTGAGTTCTTACGAATTTATAGTTTCTAAGTGCAAAGAGAATTTAAAAGAAAATATGATGGCTATGGCATTTACTTAATTCTGAACCCACACTTCTCTCTGAAGAACTACTACTGTATAAAATGTTACACATTAGTGATGAAATGGTTGAAAAGGGTAAGCAAGTTAACTGTCAGGTATCATGATTTGCATTGTGTGTAAATATTATTTCAGTTTATTTTTATAATAGTACTTCAAAGAGTGCTATCTCCATTTAAGAAACAACAATGAGCATTAAAGAGGTAACATAAATTGTTCAGAAATAATTAACAAGTAAATTTGTAGCTCATTCAAGTTTTAGCTCAGTCAGAAAACTGAGTATTTTATGATGGTATATGACAGGCTCATCTATGTAACTTACCCCTATTAGTCTTGGCACACTTTGTAGATGTCGGTGTCTAGCAGTATTTCAGGACTGTCAAATGCATTACTGTAAGTAATACTAGATGCTGCTGTCCTCAAGCAAGAAGGTAAGTCCGAATTACTAAGACTAATGGTACCTATGTAGGGTATCTTAAAACTGTAGTCTTAATCCCAGCACTTGGGAATGCTGAAACAGTAGAATTTCAGGTAAGGGTCCGACTGGGATATGCAGTGAGACAGAATAAAAGGCCATAATCTTTTCACCAGGTGGCACCTCAGGCATGTATGCTCAACTCATTCACATGGAAAACATAGGAAAGAGAAAGGTTGTGACTTCAGATTTTAAAAAACACGTTTGAAAAATGTATTTTATACTTTTGCCCCTGTGAGCTATAATACACAGGGTTGTGTGTGTTAATGCTCAAGTTCTGGATTCACTACTAACACTCATCCAACATGCACCTCATTTCCTCTGTGAGGACCACACAGAAAGGCAAGGACACAGTACAATGCTGGACAGTATGGGCATGGAAAAGACATGCTGAGCTTGAACTGACTCTACTTTTTTGGTATGGTGCAAATGTACCAGATCATGTTCCAGGCTGCTCTGGCTACCCCAACAACAGACTTTCAACCATGTAAGCTGCTGACAGAGAAATGCCTCAAATTATATCTTAGTAAAACACAATACTTTAGGACCATGAGTAATCTTCACTGGAGAAATTACTTTTAATGCAACAAAAATGTTTATTACCATACATTATCATACAACCATCCCAACTCCTCTGTAAAACAAGCCAGGGACAGTCCTGAAATTACATTTTAAAAGCACATGACAGGGTAGATTAGAGCCGCTTACCTTTTTGAAATGAGTAGCTGACTGAACTTTTCTCACAGGCTGCATAAGTGCATCCCGTACAATGATACTTATATCTGCCCCTGAATAGCCATCTGTCTTCCTCCCAAGTTCTTGGAAGTCTGCTTCTGTGAGGCTGTTCTGAGTGCTGCCCAAGTGCAGTTTAAACATGGCTGCCCGGGCGTGGGCTTCGGGCAAAGGGATATAAATACGTTTCTCAAATCTTAAAACAAAAGAAATTATATTGTCAATGTAAAATTGGCATGTTTAGAAAACCCCAGGTAATTAGTTGGATAGTCTCAACTACACCAGGTCAGGATATCGACACCAGAGTTAAATGCACATATATAAAGTGTTCATGTGAGCACAGATACCTACCTACCTCAAGGGGGGACTATCAGTGATACAGCAAAAACTAAAATTAGAAGTAAAATAGTCAGGAAACAAGTTTTGAGAGGTTTAACCTTTTTCTTCCAACTTCTGGGTCATTCTTGGCTGTATTTATGTCTGGAATTCATGGCATACAGGCATGGCTCACAGACTGCACTCTGAGCTTGTGATGAGAGTAATGACTCACTACAAAATAAGGGTCAGCATAACTCTCTAAATTCAAAACATTTAAAACACAATCGGAAAGAATAAACAAAATGTTCTTTTTACTATGTACTATATATCATATACAGTTTATTAGGATTTTCACTTGCCTTCATAAAACTCAGGCATTCGAAAACAGAGAGGAAGCAGTGAAAGGCAATATTCTGCAGACTCACCGGGGCACTGACTCCTAAATTTCGATAGGTTTGCTTTACAATCAGGCCCCTTTCTAAGACTGCCTAACACATTCCCACTGATGGTACTGAAGCATCCTGTCAAATCAGCAAAAATAAAGGGGATAAAAGTGGCACACACGAAACTGCCCTTTTTATCATGCAATTAAAGAATGCTTTAGGGAGTTGTAAAGAATCTATATACTGCTCCTATAGCTGAAGTTGCATCTTCACCCTAAAACAAAACAAAACAAAACAAAAGATAGACTTTTGTTTGTTTTAAACAGTTTCATATGTTTATGAAACTGTTGGAACTAGGGTGAAACATGGTACATAGCTGAGGATAACCTTGAGTTCTTGGTTCTCCTTCTACCTCCTCCCAAGTGTTAGGATTTCAGATGATTGCCACTTTGCCCAGTACCAGATATAAATCTTTTTATCTATCTTCCTAGGCAAGCATGGAAGCTCATATCTGTAATCCCATCACGTGGAAAGCTGAAGCACGATCATTCCTCTAAGTTGGGGCTAACCTGGCTACAGAGTTAGGAGCAAGAGCAAGAAACCACTTTGCAGAACTTCACATGAAGGATTTTCACTGAGATAAATTGTTTTTGTCAAATTTGAAGCATCATTCCTCCTAAACTTACTCAAAACTAAAGTTAGGCATAGATACCAAGCAATGTACTTTCCAAAGTGGAAGCCTCAAGGATAGAGTGCTTCCTTTCCTTACAGTAGGCAAACAAATATACAATGCCATTCCTGTCCCCAACAAAGGGGGACACAAAGAATGCTGGAAGTCATTAATTTATTTTTCAAAAAGCTGTCAGAGTAAATTCTTATAAAGAAAAGGGATTGTCATTTATTGCTACACACATGGTTAGAAATAAAATGTTTATTCAATCCTCATACCTTCGCCTAATTGCAGAATCCAGAACCCAGGGTATATTTGTAGCTCCCAGAACCAAAATGCCATCATTGTCCACACCTACTCCTGCATTAAAATAGGTAACACTTTAAGTAATAATCTGATGCTTTCTTTTCTTAAAGGTCACTGACACATACTCACTATAGATAACACTGCTACATAGCAGTTTTTCAAGCATGTAAGGTGCTCCGAGAATAATCCCACTATGTCCAATCTCTCCCCTTCCCATTAGCCCCTTTGTTCCCTGAGGCAGTTTATTTTACCTCCATGGCATACAGATACATGTTTACATTTCTCATAAAATTACATAAAATCTAGGAACCACAAATAAAATAAAAGTCCTTCTGAGGCTGACTTAGTTTGCTTAATATGATTATCTCTAGTTAGACCCATTTTTCTGCAAATGGCCCAATTTCACTTTTTTTAAATTAATTTTTAATTTGTGTACATTGGTATTTTTCCTGCATGTATCTGTGTTAGGGTGTTGGATCCCTGGAACAGGAGTTACAGACAGGTGTGAGATGTCATATGGGTGCTGGGAATTGAACTCGGGTCCTCTGGAAGAACAGCGAGTGCTCTTCACTGCTAAGTCATCTCTCTAGCCCTCTATTCTTTTCAGCTAAAAAAAAAAAAAAAATTGCATTGGCACACACACACACACACACACACACCATTTTTAATCTATTCTCTGTGCCCTGTATGTATGTTCCATTAAGATAATGCTTACTATAACACTAAAGTACTTCATCTTTACAAAAACTGTAACTAACCATTAACCACATTGCTCAATTATCAGTCAAACCATCCAAAGAAGCATATCTCCTAGCTTACATATAAATACTATTAATATTCTTTTTAAGATACACTTTCATTAAGCCCCTAGTAAACGAGTACAGATGTCAGTCTCTGTACTAATAGCACCTGTGAGTCCTGTAGGTAACTAAGGAAAAAGGTATGTTTATACAGGGAGTGGTGGTGCAAGGCTCGGCGCTGGGGAGGCAGAGCCGGGGGAATCTCTGTGAGCTAGCTTGGTCTATGGAGAAGTTAGAAGCCAGCAGAGCTACACAGTGAGACTCTGTGTCAACAAAAATAATAACGGACATAATTTTTCAGAGAAATCTTGCTTCAATTATTTTCCCACTGATGGTTAAGGAAGAGTCAGAACCTATCCTAAAGACCAGTAAGTAATATTACCTTGCATTTGAACCAGGAACTCAGTCTTAATTCTTCGTGCAGCTTCACTTTCATTTTCACTTCTTGAACCACAGAGAGAGTCAATCTCATCAATGAAGATAATGGAAGGCTTGTTCTCTCTGGCAAGCTGGAATAAATTCTTAACCAGTCTAAGTAAAGAAGAAATAAGCTCATAGTTTTTAAAAAGTACAAAAGGACCACAAGGCAATATACCATACCCACTAAAGGCCTAATTGTGCTCCTGGGGTAGAGACTAATAAATAACAATTAGATAATTCACTAAGTCAACACACAGACGCACAGATGCGTGTGCACACACAGGTACAAACGCATACATACACATCCCAGCTTTCTTCCTATTGAATAAATTCCCAGCTAGGTCTGAGCTTGACCGAGAACTGAATACCTACAGTCATAGTCCTCTGAGTTTTTAGTAATCGTATATGAAACATTAACCCACAGACTGCCTGCCTCCAGGGACCAAAGTGAAAACTTCCAATTCACCACTTACTTTTCACTTTCCCCCAGCCACTTAGAAACAAGGTCAGAGGACGATATTGAGAAAAATGTTGAGTTGTTTGCTTCTGTTGCAACAGCTTTGGCTAAATAGGATTTTCCTGTTCCTGGTGGCCCAAATAATAGGATTCCTCTCCAAGGTGTCCTCTTTCCTACAAGTTGTATTAGAAAACAACATGAGAATTTCATGACTATTCATTTCACTTACCGAAGACACTAGCTAGCCACACTAAAGAATACTGTAAAATGGTCTTCATTTGGAAGCTATCAGGAAGAAACACAAAGAGGAAGTTCATTTATGTGCTCACTCATCTGACCAATGTATGCAAACCACATGTGTGATATAGACACTTCAATTAAAGGGCACTGCTCAGCAATAGAACAAGGCAGGAAAAGCACAGCCAAGGGGAGCTGCAGAGTTGCTCCTAAATATCTATCACCTGTGGAGGAATGACAAGGCAGGACACATAGGCTGGAGAACCCAAGTTCAAATGAGTTCCTGATTTATCAGGAAGCACAGGCTACTGTTACCATCAGAAGCTTCAATGGCTGGGTAACGACACAGGAGCTATTAGTACAAATCCTACTTCTGCTTAAAAGAAACAAGGAAAAAAAAAAAAAACCCAGCAACTTTCTGTGCCTTAATTTGAAAAATCAGAAATTACAGTATTGTGTAAAATACAGCAGGCTCTATAAATGATGAAATATTTAAAATTTTAAATTATACCTTTAAAAGTCTACATAAACGACAGAGACTTAGTCTCTACAGCAGAACCGTCCCTAGACGACTAATGCAAAACTAAGTAATATTACCTTGATTATGAATGGCTTCAATTTCAAGTGCTTGGCTTGGGGCTGGAGAGGCTAGGTGGTTAAGAGCACCATCAAGTACTTGGCTCTCAGAATTTACGTAATTATTTGAATTTCCTTTTCACTTTTAAATGCACACAGTGTAAGGCAGTGTTGCCCTGAGTGGGTACTCAGTGCGGGGAATACTAGTATGACAAGAAATGATTTTTAGTTAGCATATGCTTTTTATTTAAGTGATTACCTTTTAAACGTGTTTGACAGATACTTTTTTCATTCATCATATATAGTATGTAGTTTAAAAAATAATTATAACCAAGTAAAAATAAATGAGAAAATTTGAAGTTCAAATACAGGTAGAATCTATCCTGTTATAAGTCAAGAGAGGGATGATTTCTAGGGAAGAAAGAGGCAGAAGGGTAACTGCTGTGCTATCTTGAGCTGGATGGAGGACCAGCACACAGGCACAATGACTTACAGGGTCCCACATTCTCTTTGTGTGGACTGTATCTCTTTGACTGGGCTGCAAGCAGCATCCTGAAGCTAGGTGGGAGAAATGAGGCCCAGTCTTTGCTGTATCTGCTCTGTGTGACATCACCGTTTGATCTTGTTCAGTTTACAGCCAACATACCAAATGTGCACACTACATGAACCAGTTTGTTTTCAAAAGGAAAAACCTGTGTGTTAGACTTCAGGCACAGACATATCACAGGCACAGAGGTCACCTGTCATGAAAGGGACAATGTGGAGAAACCATTCAGCACAGGGCAGATGATCACTTACGCTGCAACTAGAACTTGAGCTATCCCTGGTGCTGGGGTTCAGCAAAGCTCTCTTCACAGAGTAAGGAGTGCTTTCCTTGTCCCTAGAGGATGTGCACTTCATGTGAGGCAGGTAAATCATTCTTAACGCTTTTTAAAAAACAAACACTTCAAAAACTAACACATGACTACTGAACAAATTCAGATAAAATTCAGAAGATAAAGCTCACCTATACTTTGATTCCCTAGGCACTTATTAGCATTTTAAAGTCAATCTGTATTTACCTCTCAGCATACACATTTACTTAACAAACATGGAAACATTCTGCTTATTTTTATAACTTGTTTTCTGACTCTTATAATAGATATGGACATCTTTCAATAAATTAGCACATGGATTTTAATTTATTAAGATGGCTATATACACTATATTTTAATGAGCATGTAGCATTCCAGTGATTTAACCCTTCTAGCTAATAATTAAATTATTTGACCTTGTATACTTATAAATCTAGACATGAATATCTCAGAACCCAAGACAATTCATGATATGGTGACATGAACTCACAATGTTCTACCTCGGTCACTGATATACTTTAAATAAAATTGTCTAGAAGCTATCTCACCTGTGAACAGATGAGGGAATTTAATAGGCAGAATCACAGCCTCTTTAAGTGCTTCTTTGGCTCCTTCAAGACCAGCAACATCACTCCACTTCACATTTGGTCGCTCTATAACAATGGCACCTGCAAAATATTGGGTCACCTTTGAATTGGGGAAGACTTGGTTCAGCAAAGTTAAAAAACAACACTCAAAAAACAGTGTAAAATTGTGTGTACAAGTTCTTAGTACTAAAATTTTTGAAGTAATGCGATGAGTAAGCCACGAGAAGTTAGGTAATCATTAGGAGGCAAGAACTTAGGGTGGGTGGCTGGACAGCTATGGACAGGACTCAATGCTAAGTTTCTGCTCCCGCATCAGTGAAACAAAAATAGTACTACCTGGCTAAACTGCATAGACAGGCTAGCACAGGATCAGGTGACACTGTGAGCACTAGAACCGTGTAACGGCTCTGGACAATCAATGCACTTCTTCAGTGGGGCTGGTTTACTATTTCTCTTGTTAACACTATCCATGGAGAGTATACTTCCATGATTTTAACTAAGGACAGAGGAGACATCAGAGAAAAGACAGAAGAGATGGAGATGAGAGAGGAGTAGATGATGGAAAAAACAAGTGTGTCCCTAAGGATGTATAATTCTTTCTTGAGATTTGTCAAACTTTCTATCTGGCTTTTAAACAGAACCATTATTTGTTTTTTTAGTTCCTCAGAGCAGTACATTAAAAACTACAGTAATTGGTATAGTAAGAGTCCAAGAAAAATAGCCTGTAATTTATTAGAAGCTTTTCCAACTTTTTAGTGTAAAGGAACTGCTTTACTATAAATCATTACACAGTCTGTGATGAAAAGGAGTCACTCTGCTGAGGAATGCTTAGTCAGCACAGTCCCTGCAAGCTTGAGGATCTGAACTTAGGCTCCTCAGCGCTCATGCAAAAACTGTGAGCCTGCATGTCTGTAAAAAAAATAAAGTAAATTCACTTTATCCAAGTACATCATCTGCCTAGCTTGAGATTTTCATGGAATCTAAGAACCATGAAAAGCTGGAGAAACAGCTCAGTTGGTAAAGTGCTTGCCAAACAAGTGTGAAGAACCGGAGCTAGGATCTCCAGAACCTGGGGAAATGCCAGGTAGGTGGGTATGACCTGGATGTGATGCTCTCCAGAGCAAGCTGACTAACTGGATTAGTTGCATTGGTGAGCTCTGGATTCAATACATAAGGCACAAAAGCATCAAGAAGTTAACAGACAATAATCACTGGTTTCTACATACATATACACACACTCTTCAATATGTCACAAATGGAAACAAATATGAACACACATTTACATATGCATACACCCCTCTGCCCCTGCACCAAGCATCATAACATATTTCCTCTTGTTTTTGAGACAGGTTTTACTATGTAGCTCTGGCAGTTTGGAGCTAGCTCACTGTGTAGATCAGGCTGGTCTTGAAACTCACAGAGATCTACCTCCCTTTGCCTCAGAAGTGCTATAGGATTAAAGGCATGAATCATCACGTTTGGCTTATTTCCATATTTAACTAATATTTTTATTAAAGTTTAAAAGTGACTCTGCACCTTTATAAAAGACTTATTTATGAAAGACTAAGTGCTAGACAAAACTTAAATTTATAAAACTAAAAAGACAAGATAAGATTACTAAAAACTCTAAGTGGTTATACTTCCTAGAATATAAATGTACTTTTATTATATTGCATATTACATTTAAGTATTATTTAGGCGCTAGTAAGATGTCTCAGTGAATAAAGGCACTTGCTACCAAGCCTGTGGATCCAAGCATGATCCCCAAAACTACATGATGGAAAGACAGAACTGATTCCTGAAAGGTATCCTCTGACTTTCACACATATGCGTGCTGTGGCTCACACCCATGCACACATACATACACACAAAATAAATAAATGCAAAAAAGTTAAAATCAAATAATCATTTAACAAGTCCCCCAATTAGCTAACAGAATTAGTTAACATTAGCAAACAGAAAAATCAAACCACAACCAGTTTAATCCTATAATATTAAATTCCATAACTTAAAATACAGGAAAATACTAAAATATTATTTCAGGAATGAAAAGCATTTAAAATGATAATGTGTACATGTTTGTAGGTGTGCACTCACACGTGTGTACTGTGGAGGCTAGAGGACAACCTGAGATTCATTCCTCAGGAGCCACCCACCTTGTTTATGAGATGGACTCACCAGGCTGGCTAGGCTGGCAGGCCAGCATGCCAGAGGGATCTACGTAGCCACATCTCAGAACTAGGATGACGGATATATGCCACCATGTTGAGCTTTTGGATATGAGTGTTTGGGCTTAAATTCAGGTTCCCATGCTTGTGTGGAAAGCATTTTACTGAGTGAGCTATCTTCCCAGTCAGAAGAAATAAAAAGATAATAACCCATTAGCAAATCATTAAATTAAAGCACGAGAGAGCCAGGCTAGATGGCACATATCTCTAATCCCAGCACTTAGGAGGTTGGAAGCAGAAGATTCTAGGTCATTCTCAGCTACACAAAGTTTAAATCCAGCCTGGCTTCTACATTTAAATACTGTCATTGGATTTACGATTGATAAGAATTTACAAATATTTGTTAAAAACTCTAATTTCCAAAACTGAGTGTATGATCTACTTTTTACTTGGGGTAAGGAAATAGACAGGGAGAAACCAAACCCAAACCCATTAACAAACCATTAAATTAAAGGACGGCAAACAGAAAATAGCTTCTTGCCTTACATCTCAGAAAGTCTACTTAGTGTCAATCACTTGTCAAACAACGTGGACAGTGAGCATCATATCACTTTAGGCCGTGTAGTGCAGCAGAGGAAAATCAACATTCCCCTGGGGACTGTATCTGCCACAAAAGTTCTCAGTATATTAAACAAAAACCAATGCAAACCAAAGCAAAGCAAAGCAACCACCACCACCACCACCACAAGTATTCTCAGGGGCTGGAGAAATAGCTCTGCCAATGAAATCAAGTTTAGATCCCAGAACCCACTGCAGGCAATTTATAACTATTGATACTACTAGCTCCAGGGAGATCTGGCCTTTTTGGGCATCCACACACATGCAGCATGTACTCACACAGACAAAAGAATAAAAACAAAAGAAAAAATCTTAAAAAGATAAAATAAAAAAGACATTGTTCTCTAGCCTCATTAGATATGGGTTTCAACGTACTAGGTTTATTTTCCAACATGTTCCAATGGTCGGGAAGACAGGAATATTGGCAAAGGGAAGGAGTATACTGAAGTTAAAGGTCTAAGACACACACATATCCACCCCCCCACACACAAACTCAATTTCACTATCTAGTAACCAGACAGTCTACAAAATGGAAATCTTTTCTAGTTAAATATTTTGTTAAGTAAGACTCGAAGGTACAAATATACACTACCAATGACTAAGCATAAAGATCAATTGAAAAGCCATTAGCTAACAAGCATGTCTCAACAATTAAAAGACACCAGTAATTAAGTGGATGCCTTTTTAGATATCCTAAGCTACCATTTAAGAGGTCTCTAGCATTCACTAAGATCTTTTTGCATTGTCTCGGTTTCCTTTCCCTAAAAGAAATGTCCATTTTCAAGATGGGGACTCAGATTCTGAGAAGTTGGGGAACTTGCCCACAATCAGAGAACTTTTAAGTGGCAAACTTTAGAGCGGATTCCAGATCTGTATCTGCAGCCACTCCATTATGCGTCTCTACTGGAGGAGGACAGCAGAATCAAAGGGCCTTGACATATGTAGCAGATAAAAAGAGAAAAGAAAATGTGATAAAATAAGCATATTGGTGAGTACTGAAAAGTGGAAGAAAAGAACAGGGAGAATATGAAGCAACAGACCAACCGCAGCCAGGGCAGAAGAGTCAGTGTAACTCCTGTAGTTCCTGTTCCATTCTGTTGCTTGGATCTGGCAGTGTGTGTGAATAGCATCAACGCTACCCATTTTACAGGGCGAACAAATGAAGAGTTAAGTGCTGGCAGCCTCTTAAAGGACATATGAAAACAAACCATAGTTTTTAATCCATTACAAAATTCGAACTAAAACATGTTTTTTTTAATCAATTAAAAAAAAAAAATCAAACTTAAAAACCTTTGAGAGTAAATCATCTGGACCAAGCCAGTATGTGACCCACCAGCAACTATAGGCATTTTTTGAAACTCAACAAAATAGAGGGAGACAAAATAGTTCAAGCAGACAATCCATGAGTCTTTTCAGTAAGAGAAATTTAAAAATGAAATCTAAAGTAACCTTGAAGTTGATTCTGCAGTTTCTTTTTTTCAGGATCATCAGATTCTGCTTCCCCATCACTGTCATTCCTAATGAAGAGAATTTAATATATGCAAAAGATCACTCAGTGCTAATAAACAATGCAAAAGTGAAGGAAAGATATCCTGACATGTTTAAGCAAAAACAGACATTGACATTAAAAATTATTTTTACCTAATTGTTTCAAATGATGCTTTTAAGAACATATTAAAACGGGAAACAGGCAAATAATCAATACGGAACTATGCAATGGAAATGGACAAGACCGAGATGAAGCCACAGACACCTCCATCCTCAGGACATAGCTGTGCATGTATATACTCAGGGTGTATGCCCCACCCTATTCCAAGAAGGACTTAAAGTAAAGTAGAGGAAGATTGTGAACAACATAAAAACATCAGGACCAGGTAAAATGTAACTCAACAAGACTTTATGCTAGGAAGAAAAGGTGTAACACGCAATTATTTACGATATAACCATTAGTCTGAGGTTATATTGTAACCCAAGAATAAAGCTTCCTAGTGAAAAGCTTAAGAATTAAAAAAAAAGAAAAGCCCACTTGTGCTGGTTAGTTTTTGCCAACTTGAGACAAATCAAGACTACCTGTGAGGAAGCAATCTCAAGAATTGCCTCCATCACACTGGACTGTGGGCATACCTGTGTGGCACTTTCTTGGTAATTTGTTAATGTGGAAGGCCCAGTCCACTGCGAGTGCCACCCCTAGGCAGGCTGAGCTTGAGCTAAACAAGAACGATGGCTCAGCAAGCAGCCAGCAAGGAAAACATGCTAGTAAGCAGTATCCCACCTTTGGTTTCTGCCTCAAGCTCCTGCCTTTGCTTCCCTCAGTGGTGGACTATACCCTTTAACCTAAATTGAACCCTTTCTCCCCACATTGCTTTTGCTCATGGCATTTTAGCACAGCAATGAGTAACAAATTAGAACAGCACTATTTCTTTACATCTAGGGACTGACAGTGAGGAGATAATTTTAAAAGTTCACTACAAGGACAGTCATATCTATAGCACAACTGTGAAAAAAAATAACTTATGTTCAATTGTAAAGATTAGCTTATGACAAAATACACTACAGCTTTTGAAAACAATGTTATAGAAACATTTAATGGAAAAATGTTCCTGTTACATTGTTGGTGAAAAAGTAATATAGAGAAGAAAAGTCTTACCAACTTTTAGATTTTAAAAAACTTGTGAGAGGGTGGGAAAGCCTTGGTTATTTGTAGGACAGCAGGATTATGGATGAAGTAACTACTGAGAGCTGAGCCACTGACACTCTGATCTCCTGTTCAAGCCTTTTCATGCTGTAAATACCATTTAAAACAAACTACTTGTTGTAGGTTCCCGTCATTCTTATAGGGCTTGAGTTCCTCCAAGGTAAGGGTTGCATGCATGAAGAACAAATCTTCAGGTACAACCACTGGTTTATCCTTAGTAAACTGATGCAGAGGTTTTACTGTGTATTTCTGAACCCTAGTAACGTTTGGTTGGGGAAGGGGCAGAAGCAAGATCTCTATAGAACACAAAATAGCATAGGCATGAACTCACAATTTTACATTCCTATATGGTCTCCTGAGTATGTCTACTAGTGATGGGAACCCAAGTTTCATTTTCTGTCCTCAAAATTCTCTCAGATAACCCATATAAGAACTCTCCTCCTTTTAGTTAAGCCAACCGAAGTGAGTTCTGCTTCTTGTAACCAAGACTGTTATTATAGAAGACAGCCTGGCTCTCCCTCGTCAGGTGGCCATGCAGAGCAGATGACTACAGGGTCCTCACTAACACTGCATATGTCCCACCACACAGGGAAGATCAAATGTCCCTGCTGAAAGGCCATCTGTGAGATGTGGAGGCCCTGTATACTCATGATAAGTTGAATTCTTCCCTATACGTGCATTTCATGTTGGGAACTATGTACAGAATAAAAAATACTCTTGGCATGTCATAGAAACTCTCTTTCCTAACCATATGTTAACAAAAAATGTGAAACTATGAGTTTATACAAGTTTATGAGTTTCTTCAAATTCTGCCACATAGTTTAAGGCAGTCAACTCTACTCTTTTACCCCTCCTGTCCTTGAAATAGAAAATGCCTAGTAAAGAGGCAAAATTCGACCATCAACATACATGAGAGGGGAGCACTGCCTAAAGAGCTCCATCCCTAGTTCCCTCGTGATCCTGGCAATCATCCAAGAAATGTGTACCTTGAAGAATATGAACTGTGAGCACCACAGGCTCCAGAGCTCCCCAGATCCACAATGCTTCAAATCCAGCCAGGCCACAGTAACCCAGAACCTCATTTTTCCTAACATGCTATCCTGAATCATGGAGACACCCATTTAGAGAACTATCAAGAGCAAACATAGCTAGAATATGTCCTCCCTCCTTAGCAGAGTTGGGCATACATACACTACATGCTCTCAACATCTGTGATATCCCATGCGTCTAGGAAGACATTCAAAAACTGGAGTTGACTGCTTCAAAAATTATGCAGTTGAGTTTTTCATAATGACAAAATACAATTCCACGTTACCATTTGCATAAAGTAAAAAATTATTGACATTATTGGAGTTCATTTTCCTCTTGTCCAAAGGGCCAGATTTAACTCACAGACCACTCCTACATCAGCCCTCAGTCTTGCTAACAGCAGCCATGCCTGCGGTGTTTTCCCAATTACTTGAGAACATCTAGGAAGGTATGAAAGTGCAGTAAACAGACTAGTAAACTTTGGTCTTTAAAAGGCTCTATGGTAAATAGTTCAGGTTTCGTGGCCACACAATCTCTACTGTTAGCACTCAACTGTTGTTATAGGACAAAAGCTGCCTGAGATGACAGTATATAAATGGGTGTGCAAGGCTTGTCTCAATAAAACTTAATGACTAAAATAGGCAACAAACCTACTCTGGCCCATAAACCATGGTTGGAAAATATCTGGCTTCAACAAAAGAATCCTATTGCGCAAATGAAAAGTTACTAGATACAAATCTAACACTTTAGATTACATACCCCTTCTCATCAAGTGGACCTGACTGATCCTCTTTCACAGGCTTCTGTGGTTTCTTCTCCTTTTTCTTCAGATACTCCTTTAGTTTTTCTGCTCTATCAAGATATTCTGTACACTTGGCCCTGATGCTTTGCTTGGCTTTATCACCTTGTGCTTCATCTGCAGAAGGGAACAAGATACTATTTCATTAGAAGGGAATGTCCCTACAGGCTCATGTATCCAAATACTCAGTCCACGGTGGGGGATGCTGAATAGGAAGGTTATTTGGGAGGTAGAGCCTTGCTGAAGAAATATGTCAATGGGGTGGGCTCTGAGGTTTTATGACCTGGCTCATCTCCCTGTTTTCCAGTTTCCCATGTGTTGATGAGATGTGGTCAGTTAGCGCCCTAACTCCCAGACTTGCCCCACTCCTGCAGCCATGTCTTCCCTGTGATGATGGGCTGGATCCACCCTGAAACTATTTGCAAAAAAACACCTTTCTTCCCTAACTTGTTTTCTGCCAGGGTATTCAGAGAAAGGCTCAAACTCAGAGATATTCTTTTAACGAGGAACTTCTGTATTGGAAGAGGAAGGAAAAACTATATCTATATCCAATGATTATCAATCCTTTTCTATTCCTTTCCACTCAGGGTTGAAAGCCAACATTGCGTGTAAGAGTTTAAAAACAAAACAAAACAAGAGTAAAATAATGGATATTAAGTTAGTGTTATATAATAATAAAGAAACTGTCTATAGGTTTCAAATTCTTCCCTTAGCAGTTTGCAGACAGCTAAAAGGTGTTTGTCTCACATAAAAGCAATCACAAGAGAGATAATGGATAGCTCTGAATGTAGAGCAGTGAAGGCTGGAGAGGGCAGCTTAGAAAACTGGAAGCTGGACCTGCTCTCTCTGTGTGCTTCATGTACACACTGATAGATGAAATTAGTGTAAGTGAATAAAAATTCCAAGACATAAAAGATGACCAGAAGTAGAGCAGGAGCAAAAATTCCCATTAATATCTCTTGTGTATTTTATTTCAAAGTATACAAAGTGATGGAAATTGTATACATTATGTGGATCACCAACATAGTAATTTATTACATCAAGGCTTCTATTTGTCCTTGTTTTCAAATGTGGACTTCAACAAGATAGGCAATGCACAGGATTATCCTCATGTCTCTTCTGTGTCATATTTTACTCTCAGTTTTATGTCAATGTGCTTCCCTCCCCTACAATTAGTTGGGAAAGCACAAAAGAAAACCTCAAATAACCCAAAATCACTAAGTGTAAGAATGCTGCTGGATCTTACAGGTTTCATGCTTGTTTCTCAGGGTTGAATCTCTAGTTCCCAGAACAGAGCCTATCACATGATAAACAGCAGATATATATTTGTAAACTATACTTCCTACCTCCCAATTTATTTTTACCACAAAACCATTTCCAACATAGCCTGAGGAAATGATTAAGTTCAAATCGAATAACCTAGATATACTGTCCATATAATAAAGTTATCTCTATTGAATGCACAATAAAAATAGTAGGCGTATAAAGTAGTAAATGTAACTACTGTTAACTTGTTAACAGGACTTAAAAGTTAAGAGAGAGCAGCTTCTTTTTAACGGGTGGTTTAGATCTTTAGAATTCTCTTGGCTTTCTATTTCAACTTTTATTAATGTAACAAATTTTTCCTATTTAGTGTATAAGTGTAAATAAAATAAAACATGGCTTACACTTAACAACGTGAAGAAAATACTGAACAGCATGTTGATAGAGTTGCAGAGCTTCCTCATAATTTCCAGCTTTGTCTTCCTGTGCTGCTTTGCTTGCAAGATCTATTGCTTTCTGTGTGAAGGAGGCAAAACATAAACTTAAAATGAAAGCATAAATCTTAAGTTTGAAGCAAACAATGCCCCCCAACACACACAATGGGGGACTGAGAGATTAGATCGAAGTAAAAAGGAAGTTGAGGAAATTTTCAAAAATTAAGTACAGTTGGACTGGAGACATGGCTCAGGGGTTAAGGGCACTAGCTAGTCTTCTGGGTGACCGGGGTTCAATTCTCAGCACCCATATGTCAGATCACGAACATCTGGAGCTCCAGTTGAGCAGATCTGACATTCTCTTCTGACCTGTGGACACCAGGCACACTGCACAGACACAGATACAGGCAGAACACCCACACACATAAAATAAACTTAAAGCCTTTGAAAAGCCTTGGTGCTGCTTTGCCTAACGTATAAACAGAATGCCTAGAGATAAAATCCTCTATGAAACAGTGCGATATAGACTCTAAAAAGTTCTCAAAACTATACTGAACAAAGACATTTAAAAATAAGTATCACATCAAAGAATATGAAAATATCATTAAAAATATTAAAAATTTTAGGAATATGAGAAGTATGAGGGGCATTTTGATGATTTGATAAAAATTCATTTTCTATCTTTTCACAGAAGGCTGTGATGGGAAGTACTATAGAGATTAAAAAAGAAGATCTTCCCGGATAGAACCCAAATATAGCCAAGCAACTATTTAAAAGTGATACAGAACCAAGTCAACAATGAGAAAGCAGGCTTTTAAAATGGTATTATAGCAAATGGACATTAGTGAGAGAACAAAAAAGATCTTCACTTAAATCTCATGTGTCCAGCAAAAACTAACTCAAAAAGAGCACAGACTTAAATATAAAACTTTCAGAAAACAAAAACAAAAAAGTTCTAGACTTAATATCAAAAGCATAATGTATAAAATGAAAAGATGTTAACATGGAGCATAACAAAAACATCTGTTCTCGAAAGATTCTAATAAAATGATAAAACGACATATTACAGACTAGGAGAAATACTATGAAACGCCTGACAAAAGAGAAACACCTACAGAACTCACAAGGGGATCCTGAAGACAACAGTTTTAAGAGAATCCGTTAATGTGCCAGTAAGATGGTTAATTGGATAAAGGGTCTTGTTATCCAGCCTGATTGATTTAAGAGGCCTGTACAGCAGGAGAGAACCAATTCTTAAAAGCTGCTTCCCCAGCACCCCAGTTAACTAGTGGACCACTTCACCAAAGAGACTACAGATGGCATACCATCGTTTGAATGTTGCAAATTAGAACTACAATGAAAAAGACCATACACCTATCACAATGGCTAAAAGTAAAAACAGTGTGAACACTAATGCTGGTAAGGATGGCCAAGAACTATAATGGTTTAACAGTACTGAAAAACTGGTTTTATTTACAGAACAAAATATGTAACTAATACGTAAACAAGCAACTCTACTCCTAGAGAATCACCCAAAGAAGGATTTGTGTTCACCCAAAAGCCTGTACATGAGTGAACGTTCCAGACAGCTTTCAACATAGTTATATGAATAACATGGAGCACCAGTCGGCAATCAAAAGGGACGGACTATTGCCATAGAAGATTTGGATGACTCTCGAGGCTATTATGTTGACTGAAAAAAGCCAATGCTAATGGTTGCATATTACATGATTCCATTTATGTAATAGTCTCAAAATGTCAAAGTCAGAGATGGGAAGTAATGAATGCTGCCAGGGACCTGGGATGTGAGTAGAAGAGAAAATGAAGGTGGATATAACAGCAGCATGAGGGGTTCCCATGGAACTGCTCTAGAGTACAATGCTTGTTCATTTGGTGAGCTCATGTTTAGTTTTGTAAATGAAACCTGTGGTGATAGATATACAACCTATACTATCCTTGAACTGCACAGAAACACATACACAAAAGTACAAACCAAACTGGGGGATGAGCCATCATGGCAGTGCATGCCTTTAATCCCAGCACGGTGGGGGGGGAGGGGGGAGGGGGGGGAGGGCAGAGGCAGGTGGATTGCTTTGAGTTCTTTGAGTTCCAGGCCAGCCTGGTCTACAAAGTGAGTCTAGGACAGCCAAGGCTACACAGAGAAAGCCGGTCTTCTACACCTCCTCCTCCCCCTCCCCCGAAAAGCTACAATGTGTCAACACGATATCTTGGGTGTGATACTGTACCAATTTTACAACATGCAGCTGAGGGAAGGATACACTGAATACCTCTTATCACTTAAAACTGCATGTTATCTCAAAATAAAATGTTTTACATAGTTTCTCTCAAAATAAAATGTTTTACATAGTTTCTCTGTGTAGTCCTGGCTATCCAAGAACTTACTCTGTAGACCAGGCTGGCCTTGAACTCACAGAAATCTGCCTGCCTTCTCCCAGCTTTCAAAATAAAAACTTTGGTCAGGCTTAGTAGTTTAGGGATTGCAGAGATGTCTCAGGGGTTAAGAACACTGGCTGCTCTTCCAGAGGACCTGGGTTCAGTTCCCAGCACCTACATGGTAGCTCACAATCATCTGTAACTACATTTTCAGGAGAGCCAATGCCCTCTTCTGGCCCCCCTGGGTATTCAGAACACACACATAGAATACAATAAACTATAATTTAACATATATGTAGATATATGAAAATAAAGAACAAGCATGAATTACTAGAACATTCCAGTGGGGAGAGGGTATAGGCATGGGGTTGGTGAGATGGCACAGTGGGTAAGGATGCCTGCTACCAAGACTGATGACTTGAGTTTGATTCCTGGGAACCATACATTAGAAAATGAGAACAAACTCCTCAAAGTTGTCCTCTGTCCCCCCCCCCCCACATGCTATGGCACATGCTCACACACAATCACACATCTCACTCATACACACCGTCCCTCCCACTAGAATATATGCTCCACAAAGTCGGGGGTTAATGTCTTCACTTTTGCATGCATCAGCAAAGAGCTGGTATATGACTGAGTGACTTCACTAACTCAGGGTCAGCTAGGATCTAGCTATCAGTATAAAGTACAAAGGTTTGGAAGATCTGAGATTGTCTTTTCCTGAGTAGATCATGGGGCATCCACCCCAGAAATCCCTAGCAAACAGCATCTGGACAAAAGTTCAAGCCTTTATCTGCCAAGGCTGACTCTTTATGCTCAGGAGGCCATTTCCATCTTATCCTTTGACAGTTATTCTATCAGTGACATGCCAATGTTGGTTGGGGCTCTCCCCTAAAGAAAAGTATGTTTATGTTCTATCTCAGATCCATAGATACAACATCCCACTAATGGCACACCAACTCTCTTGGGTTCCTAGATTTCTCTCTAGTTGCCATCTTAGCACTCTTTACCTCCACAACACATCCCCAAGGAAAGCCCTAACTTCATTTGGGTTAATCTCCTATTCCTCCTGCAATGCTGTCTCTTGGCTGCCAAAGCACATGCTCATCTAACTCCCCCTCTGCAGGACTTAGCAGTAGTGACAAATACCCAAACAGTACCTCCTTTCTTGGTCTTCATTACACCTTTAGCTACTGATTGCGCTGTGATTATTTTTCTGTGTCTTTGATATGCTATACAGGCCTTGGTTTTTTTCCTCATTCTATAAACTCTCCAAGATGGAACATTCCATGTCTACCTTTATGCCAATTCCCAAATTCCTTTTTTTCTGGTATAGCCCACACATGAATGTATGAAATGCTTACTTGGCACTTCCGTCTGGCTGTCTCCACAAATATTTCAAAATTAGTTCAGAGCCCATATTTCTTTTTGTCTCTCCATGCTTGCTTGTCTTGCATCTTCAGAACCAACTTATTCCCATTCTTACAGTACACCCAGAACTCCTGTAGAAAACTGGGATGACTCCTCTTTCATGGCTTAACTGAAGGCACAGACTACAATATTTTCTTTTTTAAACTTTTCTGTGCACCAGCCTTTCTTAATGTGTTTAAAATAAGAACCACCCTAATTTGGCCAGTCACCACCTTCCACCGCACATACCTCTGTCTTCTAACAGGTCTCCTTCCACCCACATGGGCCACCAGTCAGATTTGTCTCTATACACAGATGAAAGTTTGATTCTGAACCACAAATGTGAAAATGCCACTCCACTACTCAAGTTATTTTTGCAAATTTCCATTACAGCAGAATGAAGACCCACTATGGTGTGTAGCACACAGACTCTTGATGACAGCCTAGCTGTGTTGATTTATGCTCCTGCTTATACACTGGCTTCCTGTGATGTCAAACTGCTCGTACAACCCAAACCAACTAAGGTTACATAGGCTCAGAACATACAAAGAAGACCCTATGCCATTGTCTCTCTGTGAGATTCCAGTTTCTCAAGACCTCAGTGCCAGTATGGCCCTCCGGGTACAACCCACTCTCCAACACCAACTGGGCCCATCTATGACTGCTTGTACATGCTTCCAATGATTACACTGTGTTCTGTCAGTCGCTTTCTGCTTTTATCTAAACTACTAGAGGCATATGTGCCCACGCACACAAGAGCTAGCGTGCTCGTACACATACGTGTACACACACACACACACACACACACACACACACGGGGTTGAAGAGTACGGGAATGGGGGTGTGTGTGCAAATACCATTTGGGAAATACTGGATTGCCCAAATCTTAGCACAGTTTTACATGGGCAACAAATATTTTGGACTAGGTCATCTCTGAATTTTACTTCACGTTCTATTACTTGAAGTTTTCTCCACCTCTTGCAAGGCTTTTATTACATTTCCTCTGCCAGGAAAACATTCACTATTTCTTTTTAAGTCGGCAGAATTTTGCAGTGAACGAAAACCAGGAGCAAAAAAACCCAACCAACCAACCAACCAAACAAACAAAAAAATCAAAACAAAACAAAAAACCAGGAGCTTCTATGCACACAGACCTGGATTGGAAACTAACCCCAACACTAATCAACTGCAGGTCTTTGGGCAACCAGAGCCTGAAGAAGCTCGAGTTTCTAATAATGTGAAACCCGAGTAACACTCACCTTGAAGAGTTGTTCTGAGGATTCAATAGCTCCCATCAAACACTGAGGCAATTAGAGTTAGTGTTCATTTTATCTGAGATCACCTCCCAGTGAAACATTTCTTGTCTATTCTTGGAAGAGTGAGCAGTAGCCTAGATGCCCACCCACATGAACTAACCTCTGTTATAGTATTTCTTTAATTGTTTTTAACTTCTGGGGTTTTGTTGTTGTTATTTTAGCTATTTGCATCTTGCAATAGATTAAATGCATCCATCTCTGAAGACTTTTGCTTTGTTCCTTGGGAAAATGACTCAGTTAACAATTCTTCATGTAAATGTTAGAAAACTGAAAATGCTCATGGAGAAGAGCACACCTGAATCAAGCACCAGCAAAACTGTAGCTCAACATCCCTCATCCCTCTCACTCACACCTATACTGTTCATGTTTGTCAGTCTCTATCTGGCACTCCCCCCCGCCCCCACCAAGAGCATCTAGCAGTCTACTTTAGACACAATGCATTCTGGTTACATTACAAATGTTGAAATATAATTTCTAATATCTAAAGGAAATCAACAAATATATTCAAATACAAATCAACATATACATACAAATCAACAAATACATTCACAGAAGCAAAAACAAAACCAACAAAAAAGCCCCCAAACCTCCCAAAACAACACCTCAGCATTTTCTGAATAGGGTTACAAAAATACAGGGTTATAAAAACTTGGTGGCAAAGATACACATTAACAGCAAACTTACTCTTAATTCTTAAAAATGAGCCATCGTTACATTTAGACTTTATTAAAAAATAGCAAACACTCATTTTCAAAATCTTTCAGGTTGAATTTCAAGAAAAGACCACCGGACAAGCCTCTATTTCCATTCTTTGTGTGGACTGATGCCTGTTTAAATTGCCCTCATCTGGGTGGAAGTTCTTCAGAATCAATTATCCTACGTTAAGAAAATAAGTTTGCATTATCACTGTTACATATGACAGCCACTGAACAAATACCTTTTTCACAAACTACTAGAAGACCAATATCGAAGGGTATTTCGTTCCACTCTTTGGTAACAACTAACCTAGTGGGCTATAAGTCTTAAGATACCAAGCCACATTCTAGACCCCATTGATGATGGGAGACAGCGTTACAAACATTGGTTAATGAATGCTGTTCCACGAAGCAGCAATAATCTTTTCCTAACATTAGCTATCTTAGGAACCCAAAATTTACATACAAAACACTGGTATTTTTGTTTGTTTGTTTTCTGTGAAGCAGGAAAACTTAAGACACAGATTTAAATACTCCCTAATCCTAAATACTATAATTTGGGAGAACATACATAACAAACGTATTCCTAGTGAATTCATGGGGATGGCGTGTTGGCCGCCTCCAACCTCAGGTTCTTGGGCTATTCTGAACATCTGGAAGTCTTTGTTCACCAGCCTAACAAACCGAGAAGACCACCTTATTCTAAACTAAGTCTTATTCTAAGTCCAGAGTAGTACTTTACAAAAAATTTACGCTTTTCCTTTCTTCCTGGTAGACACTGGAGATCTTCCTGATTGGAGACAGCTGCCCAGTTCTGTCCAAAGTCTGTTTTGTTTTCCAATGTCACAAGCAAAACCGAGAGTCACACAGCCCCTGAGGCTGCGGAGGCGCCACGGCCGGCCCCTCTGGGAAGCGCCCCCTCTCCAGTTCGGGTCGGCGCGGCCCCGCCTTCCCGGCCCGGGACCAGGGGCGCGGCCGCTCCTTCGCTCCCCGCCCCCACCCCTCCCCGGCACCAACCCGGGGTCCGGCCCGGCAGCGGGACCCAGAAGGGCGTCTGTACCTGGAGGTTGGTGCTCGTGGACGCCATGGTGGAGGTCCGAGGCGGGTCCCCGCGGACGAAAGCGGACCGAGGACAGCCGGCAGCAGCGCCGTCGAGTCGCGCCCGAGTCACCGTCGCCAACCTCCGGAGGCTGGTGGCTCTGAGACCCCGAGCGGCAGCCCCGCGCAGGGCTGTAAATCTTGCAGGAACAACACCAGCCACCGACCCTCCTCACCAAACTTCCGCAATCCCGAGCCCCTTAGGGCTCTGGTCCCGCCTCCGGCCCGGGCACTTCCGCGTCGTCATCAGCACACGCGCTGACCAGTCACCCAGGATGCGTTTCGCCACAGATGAGCTCTCGCGAAGTGAGAACAGGAAGCAATGATGCGGAAGTCAGGCTGAACGCCGGTGTGGGATTCTGGGTTGAATTCTGGTGCAGAACAGGGACCTGTTTTGAGACTGATGAAAGAGAGAGAGAAGTGTGTGGCTCAGCTAACGTGTCGTGTATTAGCATATTATGTTCATTTAAAGTGCTAGCAGAGGAAGCTGGGTGAATTCTCTGTATTTGCAACTTTTCTGCAAACGTTTTAAAGTAAGCTTCTTTTTTTTTTTTTTTTAATTACTGCTATTCTTACATTCTAGCACATTAAAATTCCCATTGTGTATATAAAGTGTCTTCACCCCTAATGACTAGTAGTCACAGTACTGGGAGGTACTTTTCACACTACCGGAAGAGAAAGGTAATCATCAACCCAGCTATAAACCGTGGGTCTACAAAGGTGAAATGCCTGCAGATATGCTCGTGCAATACTGGCACAAATGTGGGAATAACCAACCACTCTCTGACTGGATTTACAGCCCACTCCATGAGAGCGGACCCAACCTTGACACTTCTTAGGTGGCCATGAACTTTACACTGGAAAATCCGTGGGCTTAGAAAACCAAATACTGTTGTTCTGATAAAGGAACACAGCAACAAAAAGGACTCCCCACAACATGCTGCTACATCCATAGATCAGTGCTTCACTCTCCAGTCATCAAAGAAGCTTCCTCTTGTAGTATATGGGAACTAGCAGACAACTAGTGGACAATGTGCAGAGGGTGAGAGACCTTGGAGCACTCAGACCCCAGCGGGATGTCTTCATCACAGCCCTCCCCTCAGGGCTCAGGGCTCTGTTCAGAAGAGGAGGAGGAAAGACTAAGACAGAGGAGTTGGGTGACTCCAAGGGAACAGGGTCTTCCAGACACAAAAAGACTGATGCACATAAAAACTCGCAGATACTGTGTCAGCATATATAGAGTTCAAATCAGATGGTGCCCCAGCCCTGAGAGGGGCCAGTGGACATGGGCTTCTAGCCCTGACCAAGATGTCTGTAACTGACACCCAGTTGCAAAGGAAAATTTAATTTTTTCCAATGAAGTCTCACTGGGTACACAAACTGCACTTAAGAACAGGCCCTATGCCAGCAGTAGAGGACCCACATAAAACAAGCTCAAAGCTATTTTTGTAGACTTTTTGACTCATACTGCTTTGTTTAATTTTTGTTTTTTGTCTAACTTGTCTTTTGCCTATATATTATAGTTTCTAATCTTGTGTTTTTATTTGAGTGTGTGTTTTTTGTGTTCTTTTTCTGCCTGTTTGCTATCTATCTATCTATCTATCTATCTATCTATCTATCTATCTATCTATCTATCTATCT